CGACAATCCCCGCTGTTAACGACAAGCGACAATCGAGAAAGTACTCCTTGATCCGCGAGCCTCGACTGCTACCTCATTTCAGACATGTTCTGCTAGCACGCGCGTTATGAAGCGTCGGGCACAGCTCCGCCGCCAAACAGCCGGTTCTAAGACATGGCTGGCTTATACCGACGACCCTACGGACACTCGGAGGAGCTCGGGGCTCGTCGGTCGGAAGCAGGCAAACGGCCTGGTGGCTGAGTTGCCACATCAGATTTCCCGGCATTACTGTTCTGTCGCAGCCGGCTCCGCCGCAGCCCTCGCTCTGGCGCTCGACCGCCCTATGGGAACTAGTTCTCCGATACCATTGCCAAGCTGCACCCTATACGCTGTGCAGACTGCCCCGACCGCAGTCCATCTTCGCGGACATGGCTCGGGGGTGCTACCTTAATTCACGTACAAGAACTCCCTGACCCACGGCTGCGCCACAGCGCGTGGTAGTCAACCGCAGCTCGTTTTTCGCTGTCATGGAGACCTAGGCATTGCTCACCAAGCGGAGGAAAGCACTCCATAGAGTGTGGTATCGGACGTTAGCGATCTGCGGGCGACCATCTCCGCACGACGCGCAACCCACACGAGTAACAACGTCAGCGCGACGCATCAGCCCGACTGCGTATACAAACAACTTTTTGTAACCTCGTGCTTACAGCCTAGAAGCGGGTGACGTAGAGGCAAACACAGGTGCCCCGCTGTTTGCGCGCCCCCCCCCCCCTCTACTTCTCCTACAACAGCGCTCCAGACGAAAATTATGCAAGTCGTCCTTGCTCGCCCATCGCCACGAAGGTCACGTCACTCCGGAGCTCACCCCTCGTGCGATGCTGCATGTACATACCAGCATAACGAGTTCCTGGCAGACTGTGCATACGACTGTGCGGTGTCGGGAACAGTAACCTGCCCGGCACCACATACTCCAGCACCCTTGCGGCTGTGTCGCGCGCAAACTCGAAAATTGCTGACACGAGTACAAGCTGCTGAAACCGTAGAATGTCCTTCAGCGACCACACCGTGTTGCAGCGGCCTGTCCTGCAACCGGTCGCCGGAAGTGTGCGCCGCGCCGCACGTATCGCCGCATACACGCACACGCGACGTGGCCACTGCATGAACGTACCATCTCCAACGCAAGTGGTCTCGACAGGCGTTCAGGACAACTCATCTGGTGTACCGGTGTGCCGCAAAAATTCAGCGGACCTCAGGCATCGCTCAGATTCCGCGTAGGGCGTGGTCTGCTGCTGTTGCACATTCTGGGTGCCCCATGGCACGACGCGCGGCCTCAGTGCACCACGGACTTTTCACAAGGACGCTCTCACATGGCGGCAAGCTCGTGGCTGGCGGACTCACGCTGCAAAACAGCAAGCCACTGACACCCTTGTTCCCTCAACGAGCTGTTCTTGTACGCTTCGACGTTGCCGGCTGTCCGGCGTTTGTCGGTGACTCGTCTGCAGCGCAGTGAGCAAGCGGGGCACGGCCCGAACCTGCGCACGTGAGGGGTCTGCAGCAGGGCTGGCCCGCTGATATAATACATTATCGTGCGCGCTCTACTCAACCATACGGATGTGGACGCTGTCAAACGATGCAAACAGGGCCGACATACCTTATGGATTACGCTCACGACACCAGGCCCTAACAACGACATCGAATAGGTCATCCCAGCGCTCACCGCCTGAGGTCAACCGGTTCGCAGGTCTACAGACGTTGCCAGGTTCTTCGCACACTGGAGTTGTGACCGGCGGTGCAGAAGACATCTACAGGTGGGTGCTGACTCAGAGCGTGTGGAGCCTGCTACTGGCAGCCGGAAACGACAAACATCACGGCCTACCCGCGAGTTCGAGACGAGGCTCGTCAGTCGCTGCAATGAGTGCGAGCGCCTGCGGCAGCGGCACTTCAGCAACGCGACGCCCCGCCGCGCCGTGTCCGCTCCGTGCAGTAAGAGACGTACTCAAAGGAGTGACAAGCCAAGAATAAGACACAGCAGCACGCCACCGTTTTGCAGTGTCAAGCATGTACCAGGCCGCATAGCGGTGTCCATCGAAAACTCTCTCTGCTGTCTCTTGTCAGCGGACGCATACAGTATCCGTTGCACACGTGAGAACCGAACGCGCCTACCACGCACGCATGGAGGCCACTGATGTTCCAGAACCCCGTCCGCTGCTTACTTGCTTCAGTCAAACGGCGCGCGTGTCTGCAGTATTGGATTTGGGACGACAGACAACGGTTCTCACAGTCCGAAGACGACGAAGGCTGTCAACAACGGACGTAGACGGTCGCGTCCCGTCAATCCTAACAAGGTACTTATCGTAATGCCACACCGGCACCTCGGGGTTCGTGCAAATTTTCCCCGCGGCTTTGTTTGGCGGCGTCAGTCGCACAGTGCGCCCTACACAAACCTCTAGCACGCGGTCGCACACGCCCCATTGCTACACGTAATACTATAGCTTACATCGTCGGACTCGCCCTCGAACCTCCAGCACGCGGTCGCACACGCCCCATTGCTACATGTAATCCCATGGCTCACATCGTCGGACTCGCCCTCGATGAAGCAGGCACGGTCAGCGCTCTGTCAACGAAGCTCGTTCCCTCGGCATCAGTTTCCCTTCTCGACATCGACTCCGACAGACACTATACGCCCAAGCCCGCTGCAGCAGCATGCGCTTGCTGCCACACCAGTTGAGCAAACACGCCGCGGCCATCAATGAAGCCACTTACAGCCTAAGAGTAAGATGTACTCGCGGATACACACCGTCTCTCGAGCCCACCAATGCCCACCGACGCTTCTTGACAATGCGTTTAGCCGCTGGAGACCCCCCCATCTGCGCGCAGACTTCTTGCGCTGTCGCAGAACCTCATCGTAACCGTGCGTATTGGACTGTCTAGGGGCACTTTCTATATAGCTCTCCTCCTCAGACCATCCGTGCGCTTTTTTTCTGAGCGTCGCCTGTCACTACATCCCCTTGTACTAACTACGCAGATTACGAGAGATCGCCGCAGCTGGAGTCTACGAGGGCTTACGGTGTTGTGTCTAAAACAGAAAGGCGCGTTGCCCGTGTTTTCGCATACCCCCGTTGCGCGCGCTGGCACCTTTGCCTAACCTCACAGCCATCTGCACCCCGAAATGCGGCACCTTGCATACGCTGTGGTGTCTTCTGTCCCAGAGTGCGACAACGTGCTGTCCGCGCTTTATTGTCCAGACGCTCACTTTCTTTCAAAAAAGAGCCGTATGCTCTCGTGATCTCATGTCAAATTCCGCAGGGACTTCTAACCTGACATAGTATCTTCCTGTATCACCGGTGTACCGCAAGGAACGCCGTAGGGAACCTCAGGCAATACAGCGTCGAACGCATATATACTTGACCCACAGCGTAGCACCAGGGCGTACGAACCTCGCGTGCACGCGCGTGCAGTTCCAAGCGAAGGCGCTCAGACCTATAGCCGCTCGTGATACTCTGCTTTCTGTTCAACGGAAGGCTGGAATGTCCTCATCCGTACGTGGCGAGAGCGCCTCTAAACAAGGTCTGCACAACGAAGTGGCACACTCCGCAGCTGCAAGCACGTGGCCCCCGGCCTGTAGCGCGCTCTTCCTACGCATCTGCTCGCTTGCATTCCCTCCACGCAGCACAGGCACTGCTACGTCCTCACCCTACTCTGCGATGCCCACATCGAGCGCGGGCCAGTTTTGGCGTCATGCTGTTATACTGTTCAAACAAAGCGCCGGCACCTCTTTACTACGCTGGCATCATACCATCCGTTAAGTACCTATCGGAGTGCGTACCGACATTAAACTATGAGACGCTTGACAGCACACGGCCAGGCGCGAAGCAGCCTACTACGCACTTTGCTACGAGTCACGAAAACAACATATGCTGGCGCACCCTCAGTCACTTCATGGCGTGCCACATATGTCCGCGGATCCTGATTGGCCTGGCGGACTGCTGCTCTACAGTGAAAGTTCCACCGAGACACCGACGCAAGGCACAGGAAAGGAATTCATGATGTCTCTTGCTCAAAGTGTCCCTCCTCGGCGGTTCTGCCCCTCGGCACGTTCCGCTATCATTCAGTTATCAAACGTACGGGTTAGACGGCATCAGTGGCAAGCACTTTCGCATGTACCTTTCGCATGTACCTGATGCGCCGCCCCGGGTGCATTTGCACATATGACAGTCCTTTTTCCAAATTGCTTGGCAGTTCTCACAGTCTGCATGTTAACCGACGTTTTGCGCGGAGGCGACCACGGGCCTTGTCGCATAGCGTGCCGTACGTTTCGCGCAGCCGGCTTCCCTCGACAACTCCTGTATGTCAAAGACAAAACGCTCTTTAGAGCTGGCGGCACCAGCTTTTGGACTACGTTCGTGCATAGCTCTCCGGCGGCCGGCCTCGTGGAGGAGGCATCAGCTAATCACCCTGTAATTTTTGCATGCGGCGTGAGTAGCACGGTAATACCCTACAACTTCTGAGCCACTTGATATATGTGCGTAAAAACGTACACACACGCGGAAGTGCTGTTGCACGCGGTCGACCGACTCAGTGCACTCGTACATAGTGTACAAGCGAGCACGTGATTAGCGACCAGCCAAGGCAGATGTCGAACGCAGTAACGCAAGAGCGTATTCACACTCCAGTATCTGCAGCGTCGCCTGCTGTGCCGCCGTCTTCTCAAGCACTGCCTCAAGCTTCGAAACGAGGAGACGCCCGCGACCGCGCTTTCGTCATTTCGCTACGTATTGTGCCACCGTTTTTCCGTGAGAAGCAAGTGCCCAAACGCTGCCGCCCTAGCGCACCCTTCTCCATGCTTTGTTTCTAACCTAGCCACGTCTCCGGCGAACACTGCGCCAGTGGGATCTGTATGAAGGCATACCTGACTCACACGTATGTCGACAAGCTCGGCAAACCCTTCCTTCGAGTCTAAAACTCGCCGTGGAACAGGAAGGGCGGACAACAGTGCCTCGACATACGACATGCTGCGTGAGACGTGGTGCGATACCGGCAGAAACAAGCCATTCCTGAGCATCGTCCAGACGGACGACGGTATGTACCCGCGTCAGAATAGCGTGGCGCAGGTTTGGAATCATCATGAGTAACATGCCGTGGTAGCCTAGCTGCTCGGTTCAAAATACACCGCCTACAATCTGACGATCACAGTCAAGCAGTTACTTGCTCTTGCAGCAGCGGTGCTGATGGTGCATCGCTCACACATAAACACAAACGCCGTGCCTTCCGCCCCTCGCCAGCATTCCTCTGCGAGGCCTTCTGCACCTTACCAGCGTCGTCAGGTGCAATGCCGGCGCAGACGTCAAGTCCTTGAGAAGTTCTGAGAAAAAGGCGCCGAGCCTTCATAGCACAGTCAGCCAGGGAAGCCTGCTCCCACGCAGTCCTCTCACAGTGAAATTTAGGACGCGCGGTGGAGAAAAAATCTGATTTCAACCCGTGCATGTCATCCAAAACAGTCATCGTAGATCGGCCCCAGCAATGCCTCACCGACGGAGTCATTTTTGTGTGCTTCAATCCGGTAGCATGCATAATCTATCAACATCTGTCGTCCCTTCACCTTTTTGCTCGCGCCCGACGATCGGCTGCGCAGCGTAGGACTGCACATCCCCCAGTATCTGCAGCAATACTCAGCACCCACTGTCCAAAGCGTTTCCTTGCATGTCATCTTACCTTCACGAGTTCCTCGCGCCTGTCGAGTTCCTCGCTGAGGCTTGCCCTCCTAGCGAGGCGCACTGCAAGCAAATATGCGCCGCCCCTCCTCCTGAGCTCGGGCTTTCCCCGGGGCTCGCCCAAACTTGAAGCTGCGCGCCGAGACCTGCAGGTGATCAACAGCTTTGTATAAATACCAGCCGCTGGCATGCTGCTGCCACACAAGCCGCTCTCGCCGGAGGAGCCTGTGATGTAGGAGGTGCCATCACCGCGCTGAGGCCAGTCAAAACGCGAAAAGAAGCTTGGTCGGAGACCACCACATAATCAGCGTATTGGGCCCTGATGTAGCAAACGTGTGCGTCCTGAATCACGCTGCCTTGTCACACAGGAGCCAGCGCGTGGTCGTATATCGAGAGCCGCGACCGTAGTCGGAAACGCTTAGCCGCCCTGCAGACCCATCCCAAAAAGCTTCTTCCGCCAAAAGGCTTTTCGTTGGAGCTTCATGATTCGCTTACCGCCTGGACCAGATCAAGCTCCGTTGCGGGTTCCTGTGGCGTGTTGCTGTCCCGCAGCTCTTCTTTGTGATGACCCCGCGCGCGGCGAGACCACTGAAATTCCCTCTACCCAAACGCCACGGCAGGTTGTCCTCGTTATAAAAAGTAACAGTCCTACCCAGGCCGCTTCTGCGTGCAGGTCGTCCCTCTCAGCAGATTCCTTCTCCTTCTTTCTTGATGGTCCGAGCGGTTTCACAAGTTGGCGATTTCCACTCATACAATCCGGCACTGCGGCATCAAGCAGCACCGTCAGGCGCCAGTCTCTTACTGCGCGCACCTCGGAAGCGATAAACAGCAGCGCTGTTATCGTTACACGAGAACGCAGCGCGTCCCAAGCGGCTCATTGTTCCGGTTACCGGCAAGGAGGCGCATGAGGAGGAACCACGCAAACATAGACAGTACTCTGGGCAACGAAACGTACAGCCTTGCGATCCAGAACAATCAGCAACGGAGCAGCTGTAGCGCTTGACATGGCGGAACTGCGCTTCAGCCTACCTCTCGGGGACGCAAATGCGTCTACCAGTAACCGTGGTTTCCCGCAATGGCGGCTTGCTTACTTCCTTACCGAAAGGCGAACGAATAAGACAGCGCGGATGAGACGCTGCGCATCCCACCTACAGAACGCCTGACGACACAGTATACGCTGGGGCGCTGCGTGCCTGCGGGAGGGAAGATGTGTTTGTGCGCGAACGCCCTCAGATGGTGGAAGTCGGGGTCAAGCGAGAGCGGCGTTCGACGTCCTGCAGGACGCTGAAGCAACCGTGCGAGCGGCCGCGTCGCGCGCTGAAGGGACCACTCTTTACGGTCATAGCCACAAAATAAAATGGGCGCAGTCGAGGGGCGTCTCTTTTCGCACGTGTCTCTGCCGCTTTCCAGCCACCTACCATCTAAAGACATGTCGGGCACGCGTGTAGGGTCCTGTGCCACACAGCCATACAATAGTTCTATGAGCCGCGCAGATGCAAGGCCTTCTGTCGTCTGCCCCCCAGCGTGCACGCTACAGCATGTCCCCACGCACCACAATTACCGTGCGCGCCCTCCACGAGCGGGCGCCCTTTTTCGAGGTCATCTGTCACCTAGCAATTTTCTTGCGGTATCCGAGTTCTAGTCAATTCCACGCGCGAACCGGCGGCGTCAAGCAACACGCTACTTCGCTGGTCGAGGCACCTTAGAGAAAAAACTGATGAGCCCAGTGGAAACTGCTCGAGCAAAACAGTGATTATACGGTGCGCGCTTCACCAGCTGTGAGTCAGGCATTGTGGCCGGGCGTGGGATAGACCTACGCGCTTTTCCGCCAGAATCATCAACGGCTGCAGCAATCCGTCCGGAACTCATCAGTTTGTGCGTGGTACCGCGTGTAAGCTCCCCTGAGCGAGGCGTGTGCCTCCCGGTACACGTTTAAGGACACACGCATCTCTAACGCCAGTTGAGCTCCGTCGAACGCATGGAATCGTCCGTAATCCACGAGGCCCGGGCTCGTGCGCTATCTTTTCACTCATTCGAATCCGATGTGCGCCTAGACGGTGAAGCGGCACTAGTAGCCTGTAACTGCGGCCAAGACCTGCACTAGTGGGCGAAGATTGCTACAGTAGCAGGGGCGGCCGCGCCGCGTGTCTTCCTGGCACTCCGAGGCCCGGCCCAGGAGAATGCAAGAGCTCAGCTAAAAGTGCTTCACAGCAGCTGGCACCCTCCGCGTGGATGAAGACGCCGTCTGCGCCGGCGGTCGCGTGGGGCGTGGCGGCCTCCGTAGCTCCCCGCTGCGGATCCACCGCCAGCAAGAACTCGTTTGCCGGTCCCGAAGTATGCATACGGAGCGCGTACTCTCTGACGAGGCACACAAGAGAACATAGACACGTGTGCTTTGCGAACAAGGCACAGTACAACGGCAGGTCAGCTGTCTGCCGTGAAGACGGCAACCGAAAAAGAAAGTATAGCTGGCTGGAGTCTACACCCGTTAGTCAGCCACCCCGCGCGCGGTAGACTGCAACCGACACTCAGTATCAACAAAAGCCCCTTTCTCACGCATAGCCTCGGTACGAGACGTAATGCGCAATGAAATGTACAATGTCGTCTGCGACCTCCGTCAGGACCGACACGCAGCGATTTGTGTCTGCCCAGCTGGTGCCCACCGCCTGCTGGACTTCAGGCGGAGGATACGCCAGTGATATGCAGCCAGTTACGCAGCGTCGCCCTGAAACAGCGTCCTCTCGCAGCGCGGATTGATTGAATTCTGCACAGTGCGATGCACAATCTGAGAGCCCTTTGCCTCTCACGGCTGTGCGGCACGACCCGCGAACCCGGCCGCTTTTCGCGCCAGCGCGCGCCCGCTCTGAACACAACCGCACTCGTCTGAAATGTAGGAGAAAGAGCGTAATCCACGCCCCGCAAACGCATTTGAGCTCAGTGCGGCGAGGCCGCCAAACTAGCGAGTACAATGCAGCGCCTTTAGAGAATCGGCACAGCGCCGTATGTCCGTTTAGACAGGATGATTCTGCAATGTTCGGACTAGCGTTTTCGTACTTCGCTGTAAGTAAAGGCAGAGACCTACTAAGGGCAGATCAGTCACGGAGGCGCCGGCGCCTGATGTAGAAAAGGACGTCGGCATTTCAATAGACTGCACTCTCAACAAACGCTTATCTTTCATTCTGTGCAGGGTACCGGACAGTGCTATCGTCAACTGTGCGGCTCTCCGCACAGCGAGCCTCTTGATCAACTGTGTGGGGCGCACGGGGCAGAATTCGAGTGCATTCTGTCCAGTAGCATTTTCGAGCTCTGAAGTGCAGGAACGACGTGTAGACGGTCGTAAGATAGCAGACTGGCGACCTTCATTGCGCGCTAGCTGTGCAAGCTTTACGGGGGCATTCGAAACTGCGTGTGCAGCAGCACACAAGGTGGTGCGTAGCCAGGCACGTTCGGGGTTTTGCTGCGACTATTGGAAGAGGCCTGCGTCCCTGCCGCGTCCGGAAACCTCTTACCGTGCGCAAGCGCTCGCGGTGTCCCCGCAGGCGGCGCGGTGAAGGGCTTCTTAGTCCGTGACCCTGACGGCCGCAGGAGCTATTTCGCCTCGAAGAAACTTTAAAGCATTCTCCAGATCAGGCAGTGTTATGGTCTGCAGCGGAACACGTTTTCTGCTGGTAGAAGAATCACACAGGCACGTCGCGCAGTCGAACGGCAACGGATGTAGGCATCCGAGTGTGGCTTGAATCCGGTCCACTGTCGAGTTTTTGAAGGAGCCTTGTCCAATAGCTAGCAAATCAATCCGAAAAGTGCGCTATTCCAGACCTGCAACTGTCCTTACGCGCTAAGGGTTCAAGCCTTGCGAGAGAAATTGGGTCTCGAAGACTGAGCGTGCATTCATTCCACCAGTAGGTCGCTGCGAACCCTCACCAAGCTACACCTAGCGACAGTATAGGCCGTCAGGGCCGTCGTGCGAGCTTTCTTGCTGTTTTCCCAGATTCACCAGGCTTGCTTTGAAAGCCCGCTTGTTCCGACTAAAGCCCCACTGTCACAGCTTGCTGCCTCTTGCCTGGACGCGCTCGCAGTTCGCTGAGGGCTCAGGCGAGGGCAAGGAGTCAGGACTCAATCCTAAACAGACCTGCGAACAAACTCGGCTGCATCGCTGAAACGCCCTTCGAGAACCAGGTCCTCCTGACTAGGAGGCCCCGCAAACAAAAACGAACAGAAACCATCAGACGTCCACGCTGTCAGACGACATTTTTTCAGGACTGTAGACCCGCGGGAGGATACGCGCACGCCTCGCAGCAGCCTTCACGAATGTCGCTTTTCTGTGTGAACACTCGCGGCTGCTTGCCTCGAAAACAAGGGCTCTCCAGGCTCGCGTCCACCCGATCCGGCTACTCAAACGGGTGGGGTCTTGCGTCTCAACACTGGCGCACGGGCTACCAAGCCCCCGATAGCGGCCCCAGGCTTTGCGTGTCACAGCACGCCGGTACCGTTTCCACCCACATCCGCCCCGCGTCGCATGTATGGGTCGGACGACGTCACGGCACGGTCGACAAAGCATCTTTGAGAGGTTTTTATGTGCATAGAGTCTTACACGCTTGCACAGGCAAAATAGCACGAATGCTCAGAACGCGGCGTGAATCATTTCGCCTTCGTTCGACTAACGTACACCAGCAGACACACGTGCAGCAAGTCCTTTGTTGCTTCGGGCCGCGGCTTACGAGCTGAGGTCGGCACAGGTCGCATTTTTACTGTTTGCGGTACCATCACTGTTTCTATCTACGACAACACAGCAGGAGCTCGCGAAGCAGAAGACAAGAAAAGAACCTGCTTTGTTTGGTGCGGTACCTTTTTCGTGGACGGGTCGGTCCACCTCGCAGCATTCCTGAGACGCAGCCTGCTCGCGCCACCCCTTAACGAGGGACGGCAGAGTCTGGCGCCCCGGCGGAATTGCATAGTAGCTGCTTCAGTCAAAAGCCCCGTTTAAAGCAGTACAACAACTTTCCCGCAAGTAATGGCATGTGTACATATGTGTGTCAGACCGTATAATTAGAACTCCGCAGACGTCGCCTCTGCACGGGCTGCGCAAGTCAAACAACGAAGTACTCAACCGCCTGCAGTGAACGCGAGCGCTTCCATAGCTCTGCAGACCCATGTAGACCATGGATTCGTCGGCTCTGTGTTAGTGTTCACACGGTCAATCGACAGGTTTCACCAGCTGCAATGCACTACACAAATTAGGGATCATATAGAGCTAACGCAGCTGTGTGCGGCAACAAGCACCTCGCGCGTCACCTGAGTGCACACAGATAGAACACACGTGGTAGTCTTTTCCGACCTGCCTCTCGCCAGCAAATTAGAGTGCCTAGCGTAGCTTTCGAAGAATAAAATATGAAAACAGCCGGTCCACACGGTGCTGTGTTCTAGCGTCCGAAAGGCAGAAACATAGTTCCGACTGGCGATCCCTCGGGCGCGCCCCGAGCAAATGCGTCGAGAAACTGGCTCCCGGTCCGTGCACGCGTCACCTGAGCCATAAGGGCCTCTACTCCCAAGAGAACTCCTGCCGAGGAGCAGCATCAACCCCGTTTCCACTACAGAGGCGCAGCGCACCCCAGGATGTTGCCCGCTTTGCTGCCGCCGCACAAAACACGATGTCCGCTATCCGGCGACGGCTTCAAAATTCCCTACTTACCGAGGCCTCCCGCAGTTCACTTTGCAACCGGGCGTTCTGTTAGACTGTCGAGCACCAGGCAGAGCTTGGAGAACAGTGTACGGACAGCAGGCTGCACCGACGGAATGTGCTGCAATCTCTCAGATATCGTCTATTGGAGCAGCCGCCCCGCCGTATGGCGGACCAGATACATCGCGAATGAATTTGAGCGCAAATCCAACGCAGCTTCGCCCGTCATCAAAGCGGGTGGCCTTATATTTCAGACCGACCAAATGTCCAAAAGCGCATTCAGCTCTAATATGGACTGCTTTCTTACATCCTGTAGCGTGAACGACATCACGCACAGCAGGACACGACCCACTGATTCACTGAGGTGCGATGCGGTGGGGTCGCGCTCGCACCCAGGTGCCTTCGCTACGTTACGCGACACGGCGCTCCGATCTCCCCGTCGTGGCTGCAGGAGCGGAAAGCATGTCACAGACGCGAGGGCGTTGTCGGTCCTTGCCGCTCTCAGAGCTGGTTGCGGCTGCTGGGATCGTCGAATGTCCGGGTCCTCGCCCTCGCCATTTGCTGCAAGGTAACTTGCGATGGCGTGAACTACTCAACAAGCTGTCACTCTGCGCACGCCCTCTTCACGTTTTCGCACTCATCATCTCGTGTACGAGAGGCCTGCAATGGTGCACCGTCACGCAGTAAACGCAGCAGCACCATCACCTGTCAACACAGACGAGCAGATCGGGGGCTCGCCGCTTGGATTTGCTGTCGCTCACCGTATTCATCGACGTCTACGTCTGCGGAGCAGCTCGCGAAGTCCAGCTGCGCACATTCCGTCCAACAACGTATGGGAGGCTTCATTCAGCGAGAGTATCGACTACCCATACGGGGCACCCGCCAGCGAAGCAGCTGCGAACGTGCTGGTTCTCCGCCCGCCTCGCGCGTGCACTCTCTTACCAACAGTTCCACCAGCGCATCCTAGTCCCTCCGCAACGTCGGCAAGCACGAGGAATTCACGTGCACCCGCTGCGGGGAGCGCGACTGCTGATCGCGAAAGTGACCACCCTCATTTTCGACATAGCACGGGCGTACACAAGCCAAGGCAATGTTCAGCATCACGGGAGCCATGCGACTGTGAATGAGTAGACGCCGTCTCCCGCGCTTCGGCTTAAGAGATGAATGCCCGACAGGTAGTGCCTTCAAGGCATACCTTGCATATATATATATATATATATATATATATATATATATATATGTATATGCATGCGTACATATACTCCACCCAGCGCGGGATCGTACTACTGGGCCAGCGCCCCCCACAATTATCACGGGGAAGACCACAGTTTTGTCTCTCAACAAAAACATACACGTAGGGACCAACACCTCAATATCCTGTCCCGGGGCTGACATACACTGTGCACCCGCTAGCACCAGTACCAGCACCCAGCCTTACTGCGGACTAGCGCGCTTGCGCCAACGCCAGCGCCTGCCCGTTTCCGAGAGGTGCACCCCCGTCGTCACCAAAAACACGAACTCATCAGCTGGCCCTGCCCTGACGAACGCGAGGCAGCATCCCTCGCCGCATCATGTGTATGCTGGCACCATGCGCTGGTATGGGGATTCTCGCGCACGGGGTTTCAAAACGTTGTATCCGAGAGTCGGATAGGGCGCGCGGCAAACGCTCCCGACTGCGCTATGCTATTCCCCCACCGCCGTCTCCGCATATGAGACGCTATAGCGGCGTGCTAGCTCCACTGTGCTGTGCAGTGATAGAAACACACGCCGCTTGCCCTTCAACTAGGAAGCAAGGGGACACTATGCCGCAGCCACGGCCGGCTGCCCTCAGTGCTCACACCGCTGCACACAACATCCGCGCTCTCAGGCGCGTAAGCCGTACCCGGCGTCTCTTATGAAGCACATTTCGTACCCATACGGCCTCCCGTAGTCGCGCATACCTCGCAAATCAGCCTCCGCAACATCAGGACCTGTACCTATCTGCAGGGCACCGGCACCGACATTCGCTTCGCCTACGCAGACTGCCACCCCCGCGCACGTATGTACAACTGCCACAAATATGATCCGTGAGCTGTCTGTATACTGAGAACACTGCCGCGGCGGTCGACTGGCTCAATGAACCCGCAGCGCGTTCACCATTAGGCACCACCGTGCACCTACGCCGGAAGAGATCCCGCGGGGGCGACCACGGATGCAGTTAGCAACAGCTGCTTGTCAGACAAGCGTCTGTGGTCCTCCGCGCTCGTGGATGTCCCACGCTCCCCCCCCGCACCCAGTATATACCCGCAGCAGCGGCATGCCCATCGATGGGGCGGCTTCCATTTTAGTACAGTATATCCGGCCACATTCGATACCCTGGGCTTTCAACAGGACGCGCGTGCATGCCTGCACATATGAAGCAACTGCCACTGCAGCAGGTTGCCCGTATCGACCACTAATTACACCACCCTCCAATAAGCTGCAGTTTCTCTCACTTCCTAATGACACAGAAGTACACGCGCGCGGACGCTCTCCGCGAGCACAGAATCAGCGCAGTCGACGCAGGAGTCTGCTGCATGAGCCGTCCGCCTTTTAAGGTCGGGCGCAGCGGCAGCCATCCCGCAATTATCGACCTTACTCTGCCGGACGCAATGTCGTGTTGGAAACACTCAGGAAAAATGTAGGAGAAGTCAAATCTGGCGGTACTGCCACTCAAGAACAATGCGGCATGCATTTAGCACCATGCAGGCAGCGTCTACCACATTCAGAGTCGGTTGCGGATTTTCCGCAAACGCTCATAGACAGGGAGAGTGCGAAACCGCCCCAGTCAGACGCGAAGTGCACTCGCTGAAGCACGGGCGCGACCACCTGGATGTGCGACGCAACTAGAAAGTCATAGACCACTCTCCAATGTAGGAGCGCCCGCCAGTATGTCACCCGCATGTTCCCGTGCACGAGACATCCCAGACACTGACGTCGTCACGGGGAGCGCGTGAATTGACAAGTGCTAACCTCCGGTTACTATGGAGCGCCCGACATGCGCTCGCTCGTCTCTATCGCAGAGCTCCTCCGCGAGAAGAAGCAGCTTGCCGCTGTCCTCTGCTTCAACCACACATCCATGCGCAGCCGAGCGCACGGGTGCCGAAGGCTCAGCTCTAAGCATTTTTGCATGTCCGCGCGGCTGCTATACAACCTAGGCTTGCTCGCTTCTGACGACTGCACTTCCCGCGTCCGTCCAAGACACATCTCCACTACGGATGAGCCAGCCCTGTCTTAGGTGACCATTCTAGCCTAATCACGCGGGTGGAAACAGACTGCGTAGATAGGCATACCAAGGCAAAAATGTTTGAAACGCTTCTTTTAATCCAGAGATCAACACACGTTACAGCACTGCACATCCGCGGGGTGATACTGCCCGTGTGGACATTCTCAGGTACCTGACCGTCAGACGGCTACTCCGCTAGTGAGCTTCATAAAGATCAACGCACACTAGGCGCGGGTCTGAGAATAATGTAGCGTAGTACCGTGGGCTGCCTCAGCGTCCACATGGCTGGAGGTGGTCCGCATCTCTCTACGGACCCTTCTTTCTATGCAGCGCCTTCCATGCTGTCGACTGCATAGCCGTACACCCCTGACCTTTCGCACGTCCCTCCACCTTGAGGGCCGCGCCCGCAGGCCGCCACCTGTCTACGACGCGCGCTTAGCAGCACGGGCTATTCGTAACCGACCGCCGCCGGGAGCACGGGTATGAAAACAACAAGACTCATTAACCGCCTGGACGAAGCAGCGTGTGGTAAATCACTACTTCCTCAGCGAAGTAAACCGCCGTTCCTTCGCCATGATCCAGCATCGGACGCAGTGCCTCAGCCTCACCGGCACCTCATCCAGACGCTAGGCAACACCCACTTCGCATCTAGGTGCCGGGAGAATGTCCGCCCAGACTCTCCGTTTCTGTATTCAGTGTAAACTCCACAACTACAGAAAATTCCTGGCTTTACCATCGTGTTACGGCTTGCTCGTACACCCCCGACATAGGGTGCCTCCGACACCAGGCGCAGGCACACCCGAATCCCTTTGCCAATAGAACAGTGCGCCCTCGGTTATCACAACATCTCTTAAGGTATTACAGTAAACCTCTCTTACCTCCTGGTGCGTACGTGTACAGCTGTGCAGTGACACGCCGCAAGCGTGAGGAGCTCAGGATAGTCGAGTTAAGGATGTGCTGCATCAGATCTCAGCGGTTGCATCCCTGGTTCACGCCGCTTTCCTCAGCGCGCATTATGCTGATTTCCGGTCCTGCCCGTTCAAATTCAACGCCGTTGCTCGAGACAACCACGGCATTGAAAGGAGACGTTAAATTCATGTACAATGAATTTGCTGAAAGAACGGGCAAACCGCATGTGTATACCGTGTCGCGTAAGACTGCGTTGATAGACAAGGGCACAACCGCGAATTGTGTCCCGGCGTTATTAACACCAGGCCTTGGCGAATGTCCTTAGACAGTGTTTGTGCGGACCAACCGCTTCGTAAACGCCCGAGGTGACGCAGTCTCACGGAGAAAGGACCGCCTTTGTTTGCGCCCCAAGTAGGGCGTCGGAAGCGAAGCCTCAAAATCATAGCGTCCAACGGTGTGTCCTCCGCCAGACACCATACGCAACACCTCGCCAAATGCTCAGCTTGACAGTGGAGTTCTGAGGGCCGCCTAGTACTGAGCCCCCGCAATTACCGACAGTCCGGCGTATAAGCATTTCTATCTTCTCGTGCTTCCATGTAGGAAGACACTGCGTCCAGCGTTTCTGCCCTGCGGCCGACGCACTCCCGTGAGCACCCGAGAATACAAGCATCACACCCTCATCCCTGGCCGTACAGCATAGCCGCGTCCTGGGCACAGGGTCCACGCCTGCGCGCGTGTGGGCGTCGCACCATCCTCAGCTTCAGGAAGTGGGATGCGCTATCAAGTACTTCTGCCCTAATCAACGTGTAACAGCTGTAGTAGCCACGTCACGCACATCTGGACAGACAGCTTCAGCCGGTCGGTCGGATTGAAAGAAAGCAGAACTCCTCCAGTCAACAGGCAGGCAGTTTCCCGTGGACTAGTACCGGCCTGCTCGCTGCTGCACCGCACGCCATCGTTGCCAGATATTATGCCCTCACACGCCGTGATAACACCAACGTGCTCTGCGGAGGTCGAAGCGCATGTCACGTTTCTCTTGCTTATACCGCGCGCGGCCTCCATGGCGCAAAGGAATGAGCTGCCTTAGTATCGACAACGCTGCAGATTGTGCGCCCCCCCTGAATGTTACGCCCTTTCTGCGCAGCGCCTCCGTGACACACATCATTCACGCGCGCGTCCTGTCAAATCCAGATGCCTGGATTCTGGACATCCTCAGGCTCAGATTCCGCACATGGCGTCGGGGTGTAGCCAGCTACACGCGCTCCGCATACGCAGACTACCGCCGCTACGTATACATGTACTTCTGCTGTAAGTTGGACCCACGGCCTCTGTGGAAACTCGAAGTACTACCGCAGCTCTTACCTACCTGAGTCAGCTCGCCTCTCCGTCTCTTCCAGCCGCCTGAGCACCCTTCAGCCTCGGCAGGCGCTGATCGACGTGCTACGCAAAACACACCAAGCTCTTACACGTCTGTGAGGCCGCTGTTTCGAGGCGTTCCTGTCTCCTCATCGGAATTGCTGCATGCTCAGTATCGTCAGCATGAGTGTGTGTGTGACAGTAGCTTTTCTCATACCAGCACCCTCACTCAGAGGCGCACACTACACCCTGCTTTCACATCCACCCACATATCTGCGCATTCACGTCAAATGGCTGATGTAGTAGGCAGCGGCCACGCACGATTATTAAGTTGTCCCTTACTAAACTACAGCCTTCTCACCTCCTTATCAGACGTGTGCGACAGGGGTGCAAGCGGCCTCCGCATACCACACCCGCATGAGTCTGGCGAGGACACGGTTAGCGGCGCCGACGGTCCGCCGTTCCCACAAGGCTACAATCATCAAGCACAGCGCCACCGCCGCAGTTAGTATGAAAGGAGTACTACCGTAGACTCTGTTTAGCCAATTAAGTGCTTAGAATATCCATTACATGCTTTTGGTACGGCTTTTGTGTATATATACACGTGTGTAGACCTGCCTAGACAGCGAGAGTACAAGACTGGCCTCTGCATTCAGGTGGCCGGCTCTGTTGGCGCCGGAAATGGAGACTTGCAGGCTTCTCAGTCATGCGGAGCTGCGAAGCGCGCCGACCGCTGATTTTCCAGTCAGCGTCCTCTAAGCCGTCAACTAGCCTTTCGGAACGTGCAGCCCCGCACGACAGGGAGCCCTGATGGTTACTCTACAACCTAGCCGCTTAGCGCTCGTGCCTCCCGAGACCCACTCTGCCAAAGAATACAGCATCAGGCAGCTCTGTTTCTTGATGAACACACATCTGTACACGCCCGCGCACACCAGCGGCTCCCAGCCGCTACAACTGTCGGAGGTCTCCGTGTGATCTACAAAGCCGAGCCTGTCGGCTTCTGCTCCACATTCATCTTCCAGAGACAAAACAGATGTGTGGGTTACGCCGCTCTGATCTAGGTCTCTCCTGGTCTCACGCACGCCGCGGGTCTGCGCGCCTGTGCCGGCCTCCCTGCCCAAGCCGGGAGTCCCCTCCTATTCAGAAGACGGACACTACACGCGACGCGCGTACACACCCGCGCCGCGCTGTTCCTCGCATTGTAATCCGAAGATTGCAAGGCGTCGGACGCCGCTTCGATACAATCGGGCACGACAAGTTCGAAGCGCACCCAAGAGGGTCTCAGATAATTCAGCAGGCAAATGCGTGCCATCAGCCCGTCAGCTGCCCCCTTGCTGACACTGCCGCATACTGTGCGCCCGCCTTCCGAAAAACGCTCCTACCTGGCAGCATCCACCACGATACACACTACGCGGTCGTGTGCGCCATGCCGTCGCACTCCCTGACTTGTCGACAATCGCAAGCACAGGGCCTACAAGCATCCGCAACATAGCTGAGACCTGTCGCCTGCATACGCAGTTTGCATAAGAGTCTAAAATTACACAACGACCACGCACAACGCCAGATCCCTTCTGGTTATCGGTAGAGCGACGACAGCTCCCGCCTACCTGAGACACTTCGCGTCGCCGTCTCCGTATACCGACACTGCGAACCCAGAAGTTACCAAGATCACGCCGATACGCCACGCATAACACACGTACCCACTAGACGGCACAAAAGCGTCTTCGATGCCGCTGGTTGCAGGCAAACCACGCTCTTCGTTGTTTCAGTGCATATTCGACAGCAGCAGCGTAAAGAGCATCAAAGTGTTCTCACTGTACTACGGCTAGCTCCTGCGCCGACGACGTACTAGGTCTTCACATCCACGCGCATGGAAGCGCACAGGCCTACACGCGTTCGCCCTAACAGGAGGCCGCCTGTCGCACCCTTCAAAAAATCATGTGATGCAGGGCTCTTTTGTTTCTCACTTCCTTACACCCCATTGTGCAGCGGTCCTCCTTCGCTTGCTGTGCTCCTGCAGCCCCGGCGGCAGGACCGCCCGGTAGCGCAGTACTTGCCCCATCGACTGGAATCCTCTGCCCTAGCAGGGCTGTTGCCACTTGCTTCCGCTCCGCTTCGGTTAGCTGTTCGCGCACGTAATCGTCAGCCCGAGCAATACTAGCCGCATCACAAGAGACTGCTCCGCAAGATGTGTCCTCACGACTATGAGCGTGTATTGTCGATTGCTGCGAGCGGACCCGCTCCAGCGTACGCCACCGCGTTGTGCAGAACTGTTCTCACACGTGGATCAGAAAACATGGCGGTCTCTTACACAAAACGCTCTTCGGCGCCGTCCGCAGCCAGAAACGCGCAAGGCACTCCGCGACCCGCACGCGGGGTGAACGGCGGCACAGGCCTACGGGCATGCATGTGGCTTACTGTTGTCGCTTGCAGCGTCTCGAGGGAGGATGCTCGCTTATCGCAGCCCAGCCGCAAGGCGCCTGCAGAAGCATAGAGGCGATGTTCTTTAACACTTTGCCCACCGGTGTTCGGGTGCTTCCACAGTCGCCGTCGCGAAAGCCCGATCTCCGGAGTCGCCACGCTAAGCACTTTCAGACGGGTTTTCAGGAGCTTTTATGTCTCTCCTTATCCCGTCTGCCTATTGTGCACGAGCTCCATCTCCGGCCTAGGGATCTACAAGTCACAACGCTCCTCCCGCAGTTCCCACGCCTTTGTGCAAAACATCTTGTGCCTACGTCCCTCGCTCGCGCTGTGGGTGGCGTACGCCACGCTTCGTTACTTATTCCGCAGTCACTACAGTGGCTTTCGGAGACACAAGCTGAGTACCACAGCAGCGCTGGCTACCCGCGTCACACCGCCGTCCTCAGACAACTGCATCCCGGCGGGAATACAAAGGGCGCCACACGCACGTTATGTTAGGCCGTTGTAGACGCCAAAGCACACTGTGACGGCCGTACGGTTTGTCGCCTGCGCATATTTCCCGTCTGCCGCGCGCCGTGCGGCAGTCTGCGGCCTGCATCTTGAGACAAATCGCGTATGTGAATTCTTGGCTGCACCTGGCTACACCTTGAGCGTTAAACAGTGCCGTGTGCGGCGCATTTTATAACCGACGCTCATCCGGTGGGCCGCCGTACTCACAGGGAGGGCCCCAGCCGTCTTTGCGTCTACCTGTCTGCTTTATTGCTGCGGAGGACTGCTTGCAGAGGAGGGTCTACGCCACACGCAACCATCGCTGCTCTTCAAACACCGCAAGACCGCGGGGCAGAGCACGGTGTGTCCACGGCCTCTCACGGCGGCCATTACAATTGTCCGTTGCAGTTCTTTCGCGTGAGACACCCTTGTGCTCGATAGATGCGTAAGCCGCAAACTATGTAGGGCAACAGATCCCGTTACAGACGAGCAAACAGTACTAGCACTGCAAAGAGATTCAGAGCCACGTCAACTCATAACGGCGTCAGCAGCAGCAGACGGATGGCTACTGCGGACCTGTGCACTTACCGTAATCGTGTGACTCTGAGAGTCCGCCATCGCCGACCAGCTCCCAGATGCGTTTTCCAGTGACAGCGTGCTCATACTCTGCCACGTTGGTTTCTCGAGTGACACATTCTAATTGCGGGAATGGTGTCTCAGGATATGTGTAGCGAGTCTTTAGACAGTCCCGTAAGAAACTCTCAAGACGTCAACCGCGCTGCGCAGCGAATCTGTGCGTCTAGCGCAGCTCTCGCAGACACTGGCGGTCTGGTCTGCCTCTCCGCATAGCACGCTCGTAGGATGGGAGGCCTCTTCTAGGGAGACATGCGCGGTTGGTACACGGACGCGCGTCCATGCGATATGTCCGGTCGACTCAGATACATCGGCCTCGCCGTGCGTCCGCAGAATCAGAGGAGCTTCGGCTTAACCGTGAACACTCCGACGTGTTCGTGAGCTGCTTTTACAAGGTGCCGCGTAGTGTTCTGCTCCGACTGTTTTCTGCCGTGAATATCGTGAACCCTCGAGTCGTGTGCCTTCGACAGCAGGCGTCCACTAGGCCGTATTTGCTGGGGCCGCGCGATGCTGATCGTTCCTAGGGGACAAACACCTGACCACGCTTACACGACCTCACAAAGACAACAGCGTTTCCTAGCGCACACCCGCGCGCCGCCGCCCGACAGCTTACGCAACCCTCTTCCGCTGCGGGGGCTGAATGACACCGCTGTTTGTTTGACAGCGGCACGTAGACGGCAGATAACAGAATCCCGCACAGTACGTTCGGACCGTCCCGCACGGGCTTCAAAAGTGCGCTAATCCCGACTTCGTGTGAGGTCGTCCGCGACCGCGAAGGACCAGCAGGCCTACGCTGTTCACAGCTTCAGCCGGAGGCCCGCGAGAACGGACGACTGATGTGCCTTCTCCAAAAAGGCAAACGTCCGCAGTGACGGCAACATCACATGTGCTGAACGACAATCGCAACGCGGCGACGTTAAATTGGCACCCTTTAATGCAATGGTACGGCAAGCACGATGACTGATGGCCACATGTGAGCCATGTGGCGGCAGGCCGCAAATCACGCCTAGGCCCGTATCCACACAAACAAATGTGCAGCCGCTACGCGTTCTGCAGCAGGGATATAGCGTTCGGTCTACGAGAACCCTTACGAGACTGCAACGAGGCACACGGTGGGTGGGATTAACCACAGCAACCTTGTGCGGTCGGTTGGACTGCGCGAGTCTCTCGTTTCAGACGACTTACCGAGGTTGAGCAGCCGCTACACATACGCACGCCCGCTCATTGCGCCGAAACCAGACATATCCCACTGGTCACATCCTCTGAAAACACGGGGTATTAGTGTAGCAGCATCACACTAGAGCCCTCCGCATCCTAAGCGTCTACACGGCTTACGCCAGTGTTTTCGGAGCCGTATACAGCCGATATACTCGAAGCGGTATCCCCTTTCCCTCCACCACAATCTGCATCTTGCGCTACGCCTAGTCGCGCCTGCGTGAACGTCACCTACGATTTCACCGCGGCCAAGACAAGAGTCTCATGAGTGTAATCCTGGTACTTCTGATCCTTGTGAACCACTACTGATTATGCGAAAACAGCTGCTCGCGCTGCCTCTGCATTTGTCGCTGCTGCACCAGCTGCGTGATGTCGCCGCCCCTATCGACCTACCCGCTGGTTGTTCAAAATGCAACGGACGGGCTAACGGACCCATTCTCTCGACACTGTGCACGCCAAAGCGAAAACCTCCACCAACGCACGGGAGCAACACGCTATTTGGGTTACAGCGCCTACCTCCTAGGTTTTTCGAAGAAAAGGCGAGCGCTTTGGAGGTATCCTCAGATTGACTTTTTCCAGTGCTTGCCGACAAGTGCGGCGTCCAAAGAAAAATACATGAGGTGAACCTGAGCTCAGTGCTCGCAGCCGTCGAGTCTACCCTTCACCCCGCGTTGTTTGAGAAAAGCATATGCATAATTGTATAAAAACGAGATCCGCCGCAGCTGGCCAACACTGGCAAACCCCAGGCTCTCTCGGCTGTGATCTCGCTTGCGAATGTCCAGCGCTACTCGGCGGCAGCGCCGAATATGGAGAGGCGGAGCTGGAGGCCCGCCTGTCACGCGTTTCCTGTCCCCCTCCCCCTCGACGCTGACGCCAGAGCGTGGCGTGCGCTGCAGACAGGATATCCTCCTTGGGGCGCTTTAAAACGGTACGACGAGTCGGGGGGAGGCTACTGCGCTAACCGTCACGTAGGGATGCAGCACTTACACTCAGTCCACAATTCTGGATCCCTCCTCCCCGCAACGGAGTCCAAGTGCCCAGAGCTCTAAACGGCGGCTCCATAGACGCCCACGCGCGATGCGAGGGCGGTCTCATCAGCTAGGGCAACGCTGTAACCTGCCCCCTCATATGGCGTAGCGTCTAGTCTGCTCAGAGCATGCGACCCTTGCAACACGTGGGACCCCGCGGGACACCGACCACATACAGAGATTCGCAAGACATCGTAACTGCAGTTACAGCCACATCGAAAAGTTTGCTTGTATGTTACTCGGCTGTATGATGAGCAGCGGCAGCACCAGTAGTGAGGCATTGTCGGGGAGAACGCCGCATGGGAAATCGCCGGATGCAGACCAACCCGACGCAGCCCTGCTAACAGCTCAGATGAGGCGTGTTCTTGGAGAGATACCCGTGTCTAAGTGCCACGCACGAGCAGCAGTCGTATACTCTCTGATGGTTCACATCCGCGCACCCGTGCTGGCAACAGCTGCGCACCGAGCATTAGGCTCTCCCAGATGCGCAAGCAGCCCTCCAAGGGACGCTTGATTACCGTGCTTCCCGATAATATTCGCCATGTGGCTGACTCTCCTGCCTACTTTGCACTTCAGCCCCGTTCGGCCTCTGACGAACGCCAGCGCACCTCGGCACAGAAGTCACCCGTGCGCTCCGGTCGTGAAAATCAGCCCGGGGCACACATGCTGCCGCAAGAGACCAAGGCGAAGAGAGACGGCGCTCGGGTGCATCCGGGGGGAGCAAAACCTTGCCTACTGAAGCCGACAGCGTCACCCTGCGCTTTTCCATATACAGGCTCACCGTCAGCGCAGATCACGGGAGCCACGGCATCCCGCGTAACGCGCGAGAGCTGCGGCGCACCTGCCAGGGCAGAGGTCAGTTTCTGGTATTCGTATGACGGGAGAGAGTGCACACACAGCGGCCAGTGTGACAGACATAGCACACGAAAGTCTATATGCTGCGTGAGAAACGTCACGCAGCCGCATGCATCCACACTTTCAGGTGGAAATCTGCAAGATCACACACGTTTTTTCTTGTTGAACGTGCGTGCCTCTGAACATATGGATATTCCGGCGCTAACGGGGGACGCACTCTGCCACGCAGCCCGGTGCACCTTCAGCGGGTGTCTATGTACTAATGTAGCCTTACGCGCAGCTGAATGTTGAGCAAATTCCAAACGACCCGTTCCTAAGTCACCTTATGAACTGCCAATATCCGGGGAAGTAGCGATGTCTGCGATGTCTGCCAGACTTCCGCCCTGTCATCGCCACGAATCGCTTCCACGCGACCACTCGACGTCGAATTTTACGACAGTAGTCTCACGGCCACCACATTTTCTCACCGCTCTCCCTAGCAGCGCTCCCTACGATACCGTATATTTGAACGTCCACGACGTAAAGCGTTGACCGGCAAGCAGGCGCGTGCTCTTGTGATCGCGCCGCCCTACACCTGTCTCTGCCTCCCAGTGGCTGTTTCCACGTTGCGCGCAGGTGTAATGTTGATGCTCCTCGGCGTTCCTCCCCAAGGCGATAAAGGACGAACAAGTGCTGGCTAGCGGCGTGCGTCGTACGCGTCCCTTCTACAGCTGGCACACCTAGTACATGGCGGGTGTAGCCGCGCCAGCGCGGCGTACGGAGTGCGGGCGACAAGCGGTACCTGCCCCGTTTTGGTGTTGTGGAGCGCCACGATAGGCTTCCGCAGCATGCGAACAGCTTTTGCCGTCTTAGAAACCATCTAGGCAGCCCTGTCGCTCACCGTGTCCTGCGTCAAGCAGTGGACAGACCGTAGATTGTGTTCCACCGCCGAGCCTGAATGTCTTGATGCGTCTGGTAACGAGGGATCGCGCGGACGTCATCCCGCAAACAGTAGCAAGTCGCTGGAAGGGCTTACGTCCAAAACGTTTAGCTGCAGCAGATGCACAGGAACACACGCACAGAACACTCTTTGACTATAGCAGCCTGCGGCGCTGTGGCAGCAGAGCAACCCGCACAGCTTGCGTTGATGAGAGATCGGCACAGTCGCCTCCAGTAAGCTACGTGGGCATAAGATACGGTGGACTGGCACCAGCTGGTGCAGGAGTCGTTGTCGCCTGTTTAGCGAAATTTACCCCGGTGTGTTTCTCAGGTCGGCCGTACCCGTTTCTGAGTAGTGAAGGGGAGAAACGGTGGCGCGCCCTCGGCAAAAGGCAGTGAGGAATCATGAACTCTACCGCACAGCAGACGTCCACATGAACTAAGACTACCTCAGCAAAATGATGCACCCGCTCCGCGCTAACTGAGGACTGCTCCGAGAAGCCGCGAAACAAACGCTTGCGGCAGATGTGGCGTTTCCGCACTCCCTGTGCCCTACGGGTACGGTGGGTAACATAATCGTTCAGGCTTAAGAGAGGGGGGTTCCCACACCACAAGACGTGGAAGAGGGTGTCTAACAGCGGTGCTCCAGAGCCCGGCATCAAGCAACACATAGACGGAGTTCGCCCTGTGGTTTCGAAAGCCTTCCATCATTCTTTTCAAAGGTTTAACAGGACGTTTCAGGTTCCGGCTCCTTTGGTGTGCAACTCGTAGCAATGAAGCCTACTGCGCCGTCGCCGGCCGCAGACAGCCACTGACCTTCCGGTGACCGAATGAGGTACGCTTACGCTAATCTGGCAGCACGCGGGAGAGGTGGGTAATGCAGCCTTGACGAAGCACCTTCTACCACGCTGTGCCCCCCACGTGTCCGAGGAATGCCGCGGTCGAGTGCCATTTGTGCACGACAACAGCCGTCGTCGGTCCCGCCCTGCAAGGTACTGTATCCTTCGCTGGTCTGAAAAACGGACGTGTACATCTTTCAACGTGTCAAGACGCGGTCAGACCCGGCTCCGGGCTCGTGGCTTTACCTAAGAAGCGCAAAATCCCTGCGTCCACGTACGCACAGCTCGTTGTGTGCATGGGCGTCCACAGTGCGCGGGCGGCTTCTGCACGATGCTCATCATGCTGATGAAGCGGCTTGAACATAAGGTAGTTCCGACAACGTTCGCTGGCTTGCTTGGAAGACGCCATACGCGCAACCAGCAAGATTGACTCTACCACGCGGGCGTCCCCAACAGCTGAAGGAGCACTGTATTCGTACTTTATCCTGAGGGAACGAAGCGCGAAACAAATCGAGTCCAACCCGGCCCCAAAATGCACATAATCACTTAGCGGGAGAATTTTTTACCCTGAAAGCAAAGCGGTATTTCGTACATTCACGGCGCACTTGTGTGACTTGCCGGCTACGAACCGCCTTCCCGTAACAAGTCGCCGCACAGTGTGTCCTGCGCGAAGACCCCTGCCGAGTTTAGCTAGCAGTGCCGCAGTGCCGCAACGAAGTGCACCGCCTCATGGCATCAGTGCAGCCGTACAAGACTCACCCCCAAGCCTGATATCTGTAGCGGATGGTTGCGCACAGAAAAAAGTGTACGCGCGCAACAAGCGGCAACGTATTTGGCGGACGGTGGACGAGCTACAAAGGCTCATCATGAAAACTCTCCGAAACTACCAGTGCTACGTTTTCGACCCCAAAGCTCACCTCCTTCTGGTCAGCGAATAGGAGACAACAGTTACTGGCGCTCCATGTGCTTCGTTGTCGCACTAGATAGGACGAAGCGGATAGTCAGCGGGCGCTGTGGCGCTGCGCTGCCGAGACGCCTATGTAGACCGCGGCGCTTTCACGCTGCCCGCATTGCAGACCGCCATCGTACGGTTGCAAGAAGCAGCCCACCTCTTGCTGAAGGTGCGAGAGCAAAGTTAAGCGAAGTCAGGCACTATCAGTACTGCTAGCGCACGTGCCGCCGCGTGCTTGCGGGTGCGCGCGGGTGCTGGCTACTTCTGCAAGCCTCGAAACAAAATCCGACTCTCTCTCTCTACCCAAAAACGGCGCGCAGCCGAATAAGTAAGGGAGACTATTACGGTGGCACACCAGGAGACGACGCACATAGCACCTTTTGCAAAGCTCTTCAGTGAGACAGTTCAGCGCGGGAACCGGGACACGGCCTTTTATAACAGGAACCTGCATGCACAACCGTCGGTATCGTCACGCATCGCCTTTGGTGTAGCCCCTCCGCAAAAAGCAGTGGATGTTGCTTCGCACCCCCAGTGCCATCGCAACGGACCACATAGGGCGGTGCATGCCTCAATCTGCTACTGCCGTAGACGCCTGCTCTTAACTCCCATCGCTTTCAAGGGTCCTCTGACGACGACTGGATAGTGGGCGAACTAGCTCCCCCTTCGACAGGCTTGCACATGCAACCCTGCCCACTCGTATTTACTTGCCTCTTCCCTGGAAAAACATCGTCAGCACATTGCGCGTAACGCTACACGTTCTGCGTGAGCCAGCGCGATACTACGCGACGCACTACGCCCCGGGCCTGCAGATCCCAGCTTCACTTACTGCAACCTGGAAACTTCAAAAAACGGCAGGCGTACATCCACCAGAACTCACCGAGCGACGTACCTTGCTGCCTGCTAGCACGTATCTGGTCACGTGTGTGTGCACAGCTCGGCTCGACGGCTGTCAGCCGCGGGCTTCGTGGACTATCGTACGACCTCATGTATTACAGTCTGTCGTCTGTCGTCCCTTCTCCGGGCCCTCTTGCGACCAGAAAGAAATAACGCCGCCAGGCACCGCGCTGAGCCAGCTTAGGGTAGTTGTGACTGGTGTCTCTCATAAGCTGGACAGGGCCGCAGATCAAGCGATTCCAGGCCTTTGACTGCTGACAGCACGTAAGAAGGTACGTAGGTACAGGCTACCTTAATAAAGAACCTATGTCTTTGTGATCGTCTCAGCAGAATACTCGAACAAACCTGCACGGAGCTGCTGCATCGCCCTTGAGGGCTCTGCGAACCTCCTGGTTCACATAGCGCAATGCTGACGGCACCTTGAACGGATATCTATGCGTAGCACAGTCTTGCGGTAGTCATAAGCTAAAGGTATCGAGCTCTGAGTGGTGGCCAGCCCGTGTAATCACCAACTAAGCTGAAGCGTTTACAGGTGCGATATCAGGCACGGCCCACGGAGAAGAGCGACGCCCGTCCCCTCTGCGCTCCAGAGTAGAACGTTTGCGAGTGACGGTGTTCGGTAAGCCGGCCAGCACCGTCACATACTGACATGGCAACGGAACGCCAAACCCTGGCCGTGGCCGATTCGCCTCTCGACGTGGCCAATAGCACACAGTTTGTCTACTCGTAAGCCTGAGCGGAGACACTCTTCTATCCACTGCGAATAGCACTCCTGTACAAGACGTGAAAAGAAGGCCCGAGAAGAGCATTGATTTTTCGCACTGCGCACCTCATTTGGCCCCCCAGTGCCATACAGCCCCCGCGTCATGCAGTACATGGGAAGAAAACGGATGTCGCCGATGAAGCTCAGCACACCGCACACGTGCTAAAATGGGAGCCTGCCCTTGATGAGATTTCGCTGCAGAAGCCCACGGCCTTCTGCAAAAGAAGTAAGAACTTCGGCTGGCT